CTATTAAAGCAACATGCCCTAGTTAAACATTGACACAGGTAATGTAGATAAGTGCCTCGGGCTCTACGACTAATTAGCTGGAGTTTAATATGGTACGAAATTTGCATGACATGGCTCTTCAATGACTACATGTTACACAACTAGGACCGATCGTATTTTTTAGAGCACGTTTATTTATCACCATGAGTTTTTAGCTTTATTCTAATGTGTCAACCTTTAATAGATTAAAACATTTTCAACACTTTTTTCAAAAAAATTGGGACCCACAAACACGTCTAAGTTAAGAAAAATAGGTTTTGAGTAAGAATGGGTTGCATAGGGACTCAAATCTCAAGCTCAATTTTGACGTCTTAATTGATGTCTAATCAATCATATCATACAATATCAAGTAAAAAGTTTGAATTTTTTTTTAACTAACTCTTTTGTGCTTATCATGAGATGATGTGGTGTGATTTGATTAGTTAGACATTGATTGAGACACCAAAAATTGGATATAGGATCTGGATCTGGTTGCATATTATTTTTCCTATTCTTTGCCTTCAATGAAATATGCATGACATGGCTCCTCTTTAAGCAGCAGGTTTCACATAATTACTCTACAAGAAATTTTTTATTTATTATTTTTGGAAAATTACTCTACAAGAAATTACTCCAACAGTCTGCAAGCAAATTATCCAAGTATATTATATACTTACTGAAAATTAATGACATTATGTAATTGATAAATGTGTTGTTACTCATCCCAAGAACTAACTCTGGCTTTTCTTTAATTGTTTGTTAAATGCAAATCAATATTCGATCTGTCAACGACATCAAAATATGATAAAAGAATAAATTAGTCAGAAATAGCTAGGAGAAAGATTGAGCGAGCTCCAAAGATGCAGGTCAAAACCTAATCCTGAGCTCACAGATGATAATGAAGAAGAAGAAGAAGAAGAAGAAAATGATTCAATTTCTGTTGATGATTGCTTATTCCCAGCCTGCTCTTGCACTTGAACTGTATCTTGTGAAGGTTCTTTCTCATCTTTGTTCTTATTTTCCACATCAATATTGGAGTCAAATTTAGGGACTTGTTCAAGTACTCGTTGATCTCCTCCAAATACTTCAACCTTTGAATCAAGATTGAGCATCAAACACTGAGATATCCCATTGAAGGCATACAAAGATGCCGAGAACTTTCGTTCATACTTCATTCTCTTCGTGGCCTCTCCGATAATCGATTGCTCATCCTCATGATTCTCCCTCTCATGTCCATTAATGGCTCCACTGTCTCTTCCGCAATCTCAAATGGGCAGAAGTTATAACCAGAAGTAGTACATGATTATCCAAGTGTATCGACAAACCGAAGATCCACAACCTCCACACTCTCGAGCTCTTCCTCTTTTTTAGCTTCAAAATTCTGATCTCTCAAGTGATCACCAGCAGTAGTCACATAATGCTCAGTAATGTTGTTACTCACATTTTCATGGCTATCTTCCTTCATGTCGCAAAATTCTTGCACGTCGAAGAAATCATCGAAAACCGTACTATCCGGTACTTCTAGTGCCTGGTGCTGATCAATATTAGGCACCTGGTGCTGATCAATATTAGGCAAGGAGAAACTATCCATCGAAGCGCAAGTATTATTCCTCGATTTGAGGCGGAGAAGAAGAAGATTGGCGATTCTGGAGGGAAGATTAGGCTTTGAATTGTGAGAAGATGCGAGGATTAGGCCCGCGGAGCAAGAGAGCGGCTTCATCGTAAGCTCTTGCAGCCTCCTCGGCTGTGCCATAAGTCCCCAGCCACACTCTTATCTTCTGTATTGTGTCTTTGATCTCCGCCACCCACCTCCCCGAGGGCCTCTGGCCGGACCCCGACATAGCGTTTTCGACCTCTCCGAGCTGCTGAAGTTTCCTCCAATGTTATCTGGCTCAAGCCCATGCTTCCAATTTCAATGCTGCTTTCTCTCTCTTCTTGCTCTTGATCACTTCCTTTTCTCTTTCTACCCATGTTTTTCACTCTTATTTTTTGTTATCTACTCTAATATTGCTCGTGTGTATAATATCTCTACATATCTCTCAAATGCTAGCTGGTGTTGATGATAAGCCTAAAATATTGTATTTAGAAGCAACTTATTTTTAGTTAATTTCTACTTTGTGTCGTACTAATTAAGGCAGGTATTTATAATAAGGGTGGGCAGACGGTATGTCGGTGTTTATTATTATTATTATTATTATTAGAAGATTTGATAAGGTTTGTACTGCTTGTAACTACTTCTTTGTACTTTGTTTAGTTCGGCAATGCGTAAAAGTGCTCTATGAAATCTAACTTTCTTGGAAGGACAAGTGAGGTTCATATTTTGTGACCAAAGTCAATCTTTAGTTCCTTTAAGATCACTAATAAAAAATAAAAACAAAAATAAAATAATTATTAAAAAAAAAAACTGATTACCGGGGTTTAACATTCCTTGCTCTTGTTTTCTTTTCCAGATGGCAAATTTTGACGTCCCAACTCAAACATATTATTTTATTTTTATTTTTTTGGATGATAATACATATCTTATTTTGGTTCTTAGAAGTGCATAATTTTTTTTTTTTGTTTGTTTGAAAACGTACGGATCATGATAGTGTGACATTCAGATGTTTACATTATAGAATAATTAGTTATATAAGCCGTTTGATGTAACTGAAAACATTGTAGAAATCAATTTTGTGAAAATGACATATTGTACTATTGTGATCACTCAATTATACGAGAAAAAAAAATTCCCATTTTCTTTTTTAACTTCATACCATCTAATTAGTGTTCGGTAATAACAAGACAAACCCAAGATTTGCGATTGCATCCCCAAAACTGATTCCGTTTCATGTCATTATGTAATTATATATTTCTCCAACGCGCAATAGATTCTCATGGAATTCTTTCCATCTCTTGATTATATTGTATAAGTTTCATCACGTCAAAGAAATTGTTGGCCAAACACCAGAGGAAGAGACGAAAGAAGCCGTAATGCAAACAATATATTCCTGAGTTCTCGTTTTTTGTATCGGCTGTTTTACGCATTGAGATCACCATCGTTGGTGATATTATAAATATTGCTGTCGTTGGACTTAATTATAGTAACCGGCGGGGGGTTTGGGTTTTTCTTCGGAGGGTGCAAACGGCAGCAACAATTTTAAAGAACGACAGATACGAGAAAAACGACAATGTATTTGACAAACGAAAATAAACTCGACAGCCGACTACATACGAACGACAATCATTGGAAACGATGACATGCAATAAAAGAACATGTATTTAGGAACCTGATAAACAAAAAGTCAACGTCAAACGACAATATTCATAAACTAACAGCAATATAGTAAACGAAGTCTATGGAAAACCATGATAACCGAAAACAACATTAACCTTAAAAACTAAGGCTTCGTTTCTTTTTTCAGTTTCAAATCACAACTCAAATTTTTACATGACAGTATTCTTTTTCACATGAATGGGGCCTAAAACTGATAATGGTATTAAAAGGAAGAAAACGACGAGAACCATACAAGCGGCATGGACTACAAGCGACAGGAATGGAAAATGACGAACTAAAGAACCACCCAAAAATAAGTGGAAAACGACATCAACCACAAAAATAATTGGAAAAATAACATAAGCCAAGAAAACGACAATAATATAAAAACCACATGACTATAAAAGCGACAATGAAACAAAATACGAGTTGACAAGAGTTGGAGAGAGGGCACCAACCAGAAGAACGACAAAAACATACAAATCAAAAAGACGATGTACCAAACAACAGAAATATAGAAGGGACAGTCAGATATCTAGAGTTGAATAAACGATAACATTTTCTGAAGAAACGACAGCAACCAGAAAAACGACAATAATAATATGTTAAAAAAAGAAGTCTAGACCAAGTTACCAACGAAAATATCTGCACAACTTACAATAGCTTTAAAAGCGACGACAAGATATCACATCTACAAACACGATAAGAGCTATAAAAACGCCACTCAGTTCTAAACCCCCTAGAGTCATTTGACGAAACTTCAAATACTATAGAAATAAATTTTATAACCAAAGAAAAATACTATTGTATTGTAGAAGAAGAACGACATCTAAAAAACGACAACGTATACTCATGACAACAAGATGTTAAAAAGCAACAAAATTACGACAAAGACATCTAGAAACGATGATGTCTTCTGAAAACGACAACATAGCATAAACAGCAAGAGTTTTGCCCAATGACGATAATGCAAAACACGAGAACCACTAGAAAAACCACGTCGCTTTAGAAATAAAAAGATCAATAAACCATGATAATTTTACAGATGCCCGCATCTTCAAAACACGGAGACCAAAAACGACAACATATATAGAAACGACCAAACTTGCCAAATTTTTTGAACACGGACAAAGATATTATTGTATAAACACGCGTCCTTAAAAACGACAGTGACTTCAAAATGCCAATACTAAAAGACGACAACTCTTTTACAAGTTGCTTGAAAACGAGAACATATCACGTCTAAAACAAAAAGGAGGAACGGCTATAAAAACATTTCTTACCAAACAACAAAACCTAAAAACTAAAATTGCTTGAGATAGAAAAACGAACACATGATGAAAAGTTCATAATACTAGAAACTTAAAGGAATAAAAAAACGTTAACCTGAATGAAAATAAATAAAAACTAAAGGCAAAAATCAAGCCCTAAAAAAAAAAAAAAAAAAAAAAAAAAAGAAAAAAAAAAACCCCAAAAAAAAAAAAAAAAAAAAAAAAAAAAACCTAATAGGAAGAAAAAGGAATAAAAATCAGTACAGTATGATGTATCCAACAAACGTATTGAATCAGCAACCAATTCAACCATATGTACTGAATTATGTATTACCAAGTGACTAGTAATTATCATATTGTATCTTACACGTTTATTTTAAGAGATGGAAACTAAAACATGGATAAATTATTTGTGATCTTGTATGTCACTTCAAACAATATCTAACACAAACAGAACGGAAACAAAATAGGACAGATCTATTGCTTAAGAAAAAACATACATGGGGAACCTTTCACACATTTATACACAGCACAGGTTGAAGTTACAAGGACACACTGAAAAAGAGCACATTCACTGTTTTTCCCTCGCAACTCTATATTCTGCGCATGGAAATAATCAACTATTGCATACAAAAAATATGCGTAACTGCCTATTTAAAACAAGGACATAAAGGGAAAGAAAACAGAAATCTCAAACTCGATTGTTGTTGTTGATAAGGGGAGTGGTAATGCTATTAGTGTCAGAAAAGTAAGGAATCGGCATCAAAGCTGGGTCCTGATAGGCAGTGACTAATTTCTCAAAGAATTCAGGCATTGCAGGGTCACTCTCATCCTGCCTATCCCTTTTGATCAAACTCTGAGAACGAAAAAAAAAAAATCGACATGGGCATAAAGTGTGATAAAGCAGCTAAAAATGGATTGATACAACTCCTTAATCCTCTACTGTCAAAAGGAGTAAAATGTCATGGTTTCTAGACATACCTCAGCAGAGTAACCAACGAAAATAGGCAGGAAGCGTTTTCGGCAGTACTCGTTGAATAGAAGAGTGAGGATTGGAAGAGGAATGACTAAAGATGAAGCTAGAGAGAGCTTCTTCAATGTGAAGATTCCCACTGCAATGGCGTGCATGAGCACCAAAGAAAATATCGTTGAATTGTGCACAATAGGCCAAAACTTCCCTGCAGTTTCGTACCTTGGCGCATAGACATTAATGAACTGCGAAACAAGTTTAGAGCGTAAACATTAGAAGAAATGTAATGGCATCTAGAATAACAAGAGATTGCAAAACAATTTTGGAACTGAATAAACATTACACAAACACAAGATAAAAATAAATAAATAAATAAGACTGCTTTTATACATAGATCAAATTCTTACAACGCACCTAAGACTTTAAAAAAATTAAAAAGACAACTGATAAATAAATAAATAAATAAGACTGTTTTTATACATAGATCAAATTCTTACAACGCACCTATGACTTTAAAAAAATAAAAAAGACAACTGACCTGATTACGGAAGACGATGTATCCAAGACAGAAGTACACCAAGAGGAAGGGCAGAATAAGTGGAGCTAAGAAAAAGTATGTGATTCCAAGGAGTACAAAGAAAAGAATTCTTGGAATGTCCTTGTGGTAATCAAAAGCTGGAACTTCAAGATCATCATCTGGATCCCCAGTAAAAGGTCTCTTTATCAGACTGCAAAACAGAGGAATTACACGAAACAGTTCTGACGAAGTGCTTGTCCATCCTGACGTGACAACATATGCAATGAAAAACGATGCCTGCAACCAAACTAAATGTTGTTATAACAACGAAGAAGTGAAGCCCATATTTTAGTATCACGTGCCTAAACCAAAAGTAAAAAGGGCCATCTTCAGATTTTCCTGTCTGAAGAGTTTCCTGTCTACATTATTCTGGCCATATTTTAGCATGATCAAATGCAAATGGTAAACATATGATCTTCACTTGTGCCCAAGAAGAAGAAGCATTTTAAAATGAGCAATGATACACATCAGGAAAAATTTTATCCACATCCTGAAAGCACACGTATCAAAATTTGTAGGTTCTGTAAGACCGAAATGACTATTTTGTCCCAACTCTTTTCACCCTTAACAACTTATATTTTAATTTCATAACGTGTCATGAAACTACTTTTTTGCGATACATATTGTTTAAGTTACAAAGGTACTCACCTGTGCAGGGACAGCAACAGCTAGCTTTGAAGTTATATTCTTTGGCTCAAGGAAGACGTCGAGCTGAGATAAAGCTGAACCAGAAAATATAGTAGCAAAAAATATGTTCCATATCGTGAACCAAAGTACTTTATCACATGCGCTCTTTTCTATGTCACTGTGGGAAATATATCCTTGAATAGATGAAAGGAATTCCATGATTGGGGGCACCGATTTCAGAAATAACAGAAGAATGAGATTGGGAAGGTATCCTGTGATAACTTGACTAACGAAAGTTCTGCATAAGGAGACTCGTATGTTAGTTTCATTTGGCATTTGAAACTTTTAAAAAGTGAAAAGTAGAAAATTTTGGCCAGAAACCTTGAAAATGCTAATGGTAATGCCAGAACACATTATCAGGTTGCCTAAATCTTATATATAGTAGTAAAAATTTATCCACAGTTGGTTGCCTAAATCTTATATAGTAGTAAAATCTATCCAAGTTTAATTTTTTTCCCAGTTGAAAAACTAAATTCCAAGATTTCGGATACTTTACTCGCTCAGATTCAGAACAATCGCAATGGTGGAAACCAGGATGAGATGAAAAAAGCAACCACACTTTCTAGTGCACTTACATAGTTAGAATGCTTTTGAGGAAGGGAAACCAAATTTCCAACTGATTCAGATTAGCAAGACCTTGCACAAGGAGAACAGGAATGAGGAATAAGATTGTAAGAAGAATACATGCAACAATGACCACCAGCTTCGATATCCATCTTTGCATGAATGATGAAGAAAAGAAAGGCCAGTAAACATCATGCGGCTCGGGAGCTTCTTCTGCGGTCCAGTGTGTGGGATTGTTTGATTGTCGCAAGTGAAAAGCCACAGCAGCACCATAACGAGACTTGAATGACACAAATGCAGCACGAACTTCCTTGTAAATTAGAAAGAGAATGCAAATCATTAGACTGCAACAAGTACCACAAGATACCAGAACCTAATTAACTACATAGTAAAGGAATTGATTTGAATTAAAGAAAGACGGAACTAACGAGTTTCTCTTGGCTCCATTTTGTAGAATGATACTCCGTCTACAAGAGATTTGCGTTATTGAGAAGGTCAATCATTCAAAGAAATCATTATTATCAAATTCTCGTTTACGTAGTTCCTTGTACTCTTCAGTTTATTGCCCTTTATTCACACTTACTAGGAATGTAAAACACTTGTGAGGTGGACAGTTATTTTTAATAAGAAATTCAAATAATGCCTTGATTTCGAGCGTAATCAAGGACTTAATCTTAGACTCTATGACCAGAATGTTCATCATCACATTAAGCTAGAAGGCAATAATCCTAAGAACACTTTACGTATACACAAAAATCAATGCACCATGCAGAATTGTATATAATTACGGTCCAGAAAAAGTCAAATAAAATTAAGATTTCTGGTATAGGAGAAGAAGAATCTCTAATACTTACTTGTCCTGTGAATGAAACCCCTGACTGCTCCATTCTCACATTTTCCTCTATATCTTCTAGCCTCTTTCCATAATGGTCCACAAGATCAACCTTGCGGCCACACAATCCAAAACAGCAGCTTCGATGATATTTCCGATGACTGGGATCGGACCGTGAATGAAGGATTCTTTTTGACAATCTCTTGGCATTTTTCTAGATTAAAAGAAAAGCAAAGAATGATTATAAACATCTGTATGAAACAAGATGTAGAGAAGATCTTGGTGGTTCTATTAAATTATTAATTAGTAAAAGGATACACACAAACATGGAAAGGAATAAGAAGGGACTGGGTGCCCCTTTACGCCTCAATCTTTCATATTATTTTATGTTTCCACAGCAACAAAATGTCACCTTATGACTCAAAATCAAGTCAACATAAAATCTCACAAGAAACTTTCTTGAATTTTCTATCAGATTATGAACTTTTCATTTTGGTTCCAAGTCTTCTCCAATAAACTACTCGGCGTTGGCGACACTGCCTAATTTGTATCCTGTTATTGCTTCTCACTCTAGTATCTCTTCTCAAGACATGTGTAAACTGAAATGCTAAGATCATGTTCATATGAACACTCAGATATGACTTTAACCATTAAAAGCAGTGATATATGAACAGCTAGTTGATGTAGACGTCATTAGTCGTATCAACTTATAAAACAAGCTAGCTATTGTGATTTATGTCATAAAAGCCAAATATGTTCTTGCCGAACAACTCGATCTAGAGATTAGCACAAAACATAAGAACATTGGTATAACAAATAGATGCAGCAAAATGCTTACGATGAGAAGTCGAAGTTTGTTTGTTCGATGAACAACAATATGTGACAGATATGTTAAAGGGTGATACTCTTTAAAGAAGCTGTCAACACTGTCACTGACACTGCTCCCACTGGAAACAGGGATACTGCGAACTAAGATCGTGAACTGATGCGGTTGGGGTTTCGATGAATGGAAATAAGCCAATCTTTTTGAAGAAATATAACTATACTCCTGCAGAAAAATTAATATTCAGTACCCAGTTCAACTTTTGGTTCTTAGGCTGCAAATGACAAGGCACTTCATGAGCATCTCAAATATGAAATTACACACACACACACACCCCCTAGGATATCATGATGCCTGAAATGTGATAAAAGAATATCCTAAGAGAAGCTAAGAGCTGCAGAGATAATCAAATTCTTCAGAAATATTTAATGGCACAAAGCAACTTACATAATAAAGTAGGTAGCAGACAAAAATTGTGACGACATAAACAGCAGAAAAGTGAATCCACAGGCTGCAAAAAATCAAACAATATTATTTTTCACACTTTGTGGCAAACGAAATTCAATACTGCCGACATAAGTAAGAAAGTTTAATAACTTCTTAGAACTCTTCAACCCAAAGAGACATGACTGAAAGTATGATCCTAGTTATTAAAACAGGATATATGGGCTATCAGAACAATTTAAAGAGGACAACAAGTTTCTCATTTTTGCAATCTTTCCACCATTATTTTCAAAAAATTTCCATCCCTGTGCAGTTACATCACTATCAACATTTTTACATAATTTCTCTGACATTGTTCTTCAAAGTACTATCCAAGCTCAGATTAAAAGTTTACCTTTTCGAACCCTTGTTTACATTTGAAATTGTAAACACGTCCAACGAGTTATTTGACAAATTATCTAAGTCAATATTGTCAAGCTTATCTCCAGAGCAGTTCACTGGAAGAAGAACAAAGATCCCGATAATCCCGGCAAACACGAATACTTTTAAACTGCATAATCCATATACAACAGAAGTAGAAATTACTCAGTAGCAGGTATCTATTGATTGTAAACAAAAGAAATTCAAAGAAATGAAGGTAAACTTATACTATTACTCGTACACAGAAATGAATAACCATCTATTTATTGCCAAATGATAAAACAAGGATCAAGCAACACCACTTTTGTAATCTAATGGGACCGTAGGTGGAACGGGAAAGGGATCGATCCACACCCTCGTCAATAATCCCCATAGATCCATGCACATCAATTCATCAAACATACAATATCACTATTTAGATTATAGTGCGGACGCAAGAACTAGGACGGCAGTGGCAAACTTTCGCTTTTAAGACCTTCAACGAGGGTCACCCAACATTCGATCCCTTGACCACAGACCCACCACGGTCGGTATTCCATTACCGTTAGGCCACCCCACACACTGGTAACGGTAACAACTGTCTATTTCTTTTTCTGCCCACCTAACTTCCTAGTCTCACCAACATCAAGAAGTAACACTATTGGTCACATCATAACATATAACCAAGAACTCATAAATACTCTCACTACTTTACAAGACCCAAATATCAAAATAAGCAATTGATATCTTCCTCCCACCCACTAAAACCAAGAAAACAAACATATATGAAATCGAATTCAAACTAAACTCACAGTTCATCATTTCAAGAGAAGTACCTGAAAGTTATAACGCGCATGAAGACGACAGCGTCCAAGCCGGAGGAGGCCAAGAGGTCATCTTCGGAGAGGCTCCAAGCGTTTTTGAGCCAACCGGTGGAAGGAATCAGCCTTTCGAGGTTGAAACGGCTTGTCCGTTGGGATTTCCCCTCCGCCAACAAACGAGGCAAATAAACTTCGTTATTCAGAGGCTGTTTCCTCAATATTGAGTACAAACCGAAGAACAAAATACACAGCCCCGAGTTTATTCCCACCGACGTCAAAAGCGCAGAAACTAGCATTTTTCTTCTTCGATAATTACTTTTTTTTTTAAAATCTAATCTTTAGCGGAGAAAAAGAAGAAGAGGAAGAAGATCTCCCTGTAAACTGTTCAAACTATGGAAGAAATTGAAAGCGAAACTGAACAATACTAAATAATGATCAGAGATCGAATTGGGTGATTCAGCTAAGTAAAAGAAGATGCTCGTATTTACTGGAATAAAACTGAATTATACGATCCCCTTTGACTGTGTATAATTGTATAATACTGGTAGAAAGTGACGGATTTTGAGACTGATTTTTTTTTTTTTTGTTGTTGTTGTGCTTGCGAATTCTATTGGTGCTTTGGTGGGTAAGCTCTGGAGTAGTTTCCCCAGTGTTTGTTTTTTTGAAGTTCCGGAAACGCCCTTGTCTTGTTCTTCCTTTCTTTCTCGGACAAGAAAAGGACAAGCAACATGCTGAAAGACGCTGATAAATGGGTACGAAACTTCCGACGGTTGTAAAGTACCGGTGCTTTTCGGCTTTCTGCGATCTGCTTTGTGTGAACACGTGTTTTTCACCTTGGTTTATTCTTGATGGTTGGGGTATTGACGGGGTAATTTGGGGATTTTACTGTGACGTAAAGGAACAGATGCTGTAACAGGATTGAGCCACGCAGGCCCAAACAAGTAGTCAAATTCCCGCCAGTGTGAACTGAAGTCGTGGCAAAAAAAAAAACAAAGAACTGAAGTCGCAGCAGATCCCGATCTCAAGCTTAGCTCACGTGACATGGCACGTGCGTGATTTGAGTTTCTCGATGGACATTATCTTAAATATTTGTTATATTCTAATCCTAATCCTAATTCTGAATATAAAAGAGTGCATATTGATTTTTACTGTTCAGCTTTGGTAGTCAAAAAGGCACAATTTTTGGTGCTTCTTTCCTTTTTTTTTTTTTCCTTCTCCTCTTTGCTTTGGTTTGGTTTGGATTTTTTTGTTTTTTTGTTTTTTTTTTCGCGTTTTTTCATTCTCCTTTTTGTGATCCCCGTTCACTTCGCTGATTCGAGAAGAATTCGAGTTGAGATGTGATTTTATGTGAGAGCTTTTTACTGTAGCAAAAAAGTTAGATGTGATTGTTTGTGAGAGCTTTTTACTATAGAAAAACTCGAATTCTAAACTCGAATCAGCGAAGTGAACGTGGCGTTTTTTATCCCAATTTTTAACTCTATTATTTCTTTCTTTTGTATATCCTGTTCAGTTTTAAACCGTGATCTAAAATCTTAGATCCCAAATCTTAAAATATATAAAAGTGTGGACGTGTAGTTATTGTTCATCGTATAATAATTCAAAATGCTAAGTTTTAAGCGTTTTACCTTTTTCTTTTTCATTTTTTAGTTTCGACTCTTTTATTCTTTTTTTATCATTATCTCATAATTTATACTCATCATAATAGTCTAAAACAGTGAGTTATAGGTGATTTATTTATTTATTTTCTCCTTTCTTTTTTCAGTTTCAACTCCTTTTTGTTTTTGTTTTTGTTTTTTTGTTATCTTATAATTAACAATGTTTCATTGTATTCGTATGATTACATATGACCTTAAACTATTATTAATGTTCAAATTTTTTCCCCTAAGACTTAGATGTGAGTCATGTTTAGAATTACTATTAGAGTATTGTATGTTACCTATTAGGGTATCATATGTTACCACTTAATACATACTTTTTGAGTTTTTAAGTAAAATTTTTTGTCTTTTTTATATTATTATATGTATTTTACATTATAAAAACTTTAATGACGACTTAATACGTGCATCGCACCTATTTAAATTATTTATCATGAAAAATGATAATTTTATTGGTGCATGTAGCAAACCTTTTTATTTAAAAGATCTAAATTTTTCTTTTTCTTTTTCCCACAACGTGATACACATTTTTATTCTCAGTTTGACTGAAAATGGGAAATGTGAAACATACTTTGACGCGTTAAGAAGAACTATCACTAATTTGGTAATGGATTCATATTGATAATGGCACATAAACTTGAAGCAAATTCCCCAATAAAGCCGGAGTTATGTCATTTATCTTAAATATTTTTTAAGTTTTTGGTCCTCATTTTCTCCATATATATTAAGGAGTTTTTCTTCTAAGAAAAAAAAAATGAACTATCAATAATTCTATATTTTTAATTGTCATATTATATTAAAAATTATCTATTTTATATATTTTTTTAAGTTTAATATAATTTTAATTAAATTTAACTGTTAAAAATAGATACTATGGAGAGGTTTATGGAGAAAGTCCTTGTATATTAATATAAATATATTTGTACAATAACATAAAGGAAAATTGGGTTATTCCAGAAGTATTTCGTTGCCCTCATTTCGTCGTTTCTTCATTTTTTTTTTTTTTTGCTTTCAACCGTCCTTTTATTTAAAAATTTTTATGTTTCTTGTTTACTTTCCTTTTTCCTTTTATTTTATAATTATTCTCACTTTTTTCTCCTTTCTTTCTTTTTATTTTGTTTTGTTTTTACATTCTTATTTTTTCACTATTATACATTTTTTCTTTTTTGTTTCTCTAAATTAATCCTTATAAATATATTTATTTTTATTTTTCCATTTAAATACTTTATTCTCACACAACTCAGTCTAATTTTTTTAAATCATGTTTCTTTTTATTTATCCTTGATAAAAATAAAGATGGTATGTATGAAATATGTTAAGGTCAAATTTCGTTCCTTATCCCTCATCTTGCACAATTGCATGTGTCCTCATACGTCTCGAAGAATGAGGTTGAATTACGAAATCGGCTGCTAGAAACAATTCGCTACCTTTCGGCAGGGTCAGCCGCTAGAACAGCCATTCGAGCCGTGGGGATACCACATCAGTATTATGAGATTATGGACTGATTTCATCATTAAATTGGCATCAAACTGTGAGATCTTGCCCAAAAAAGCAAAAGAAAAAGTCAATTACACCTAGACTTGCTCCCTAAGCCACCTCGCTGCAAGGAAAGAATCTTCAATCAAAAGTCAAAGGAGAAACTTGCTCTAAATCATTTTTTCAGCAATCAAGACCTATTTTTACGGCCCTTGCACGACCACAAAGGGACAATGCGCATATAGATATAGGCCATCTCCTTTCTCACATTTTCCTAGAAGCTTTCCAACAGCTTTCTAGACATTCTATTGTATTTTTCACATATTCTCCTAGCATTTAGGGAGATCTTTATTGTATTCTTCTTCTACAATTATAGTGAAACCATTGAAGACCATACAATGGATGTACCCTAAGTTATAAGAGGAACCACTATAAATCTCTGTGTCTCACTATCTTTATTTTTTACTTCTTCGTTTATTTTTTATGCGATCACGATATTAATATTATAATTCGAATTCAACCACTGACCTCCTAATAAATTTAATTGTAAATTTCACCATCTACAAAATAAAACAGCAAGTTTATGGCTTTGAATTGCGCTAAACTCAAGTGCTCATACCAATCTCTATGTTCTTTGCATGATACGTACCAAGATTGTTACAGATGGAATAAGGATCCACATGAAAAGCTCTTTTTTTTTCGTCTTAATTATATATCTTGCCACTCTTGATCCTTCCTCTTATTTTCGCACTTAGAAATGAAGTAGTGAACCAAAAAAAAAAAAAAAAAAAATCTTAAAACAATTTGTCAATTTTCTAAAAAGAAAGAAAGAAAGGAAAAGAAACTCATTTATATAGCAAGTGATCAAGTTCCACATTAAAATTGATCACGATTTTTTTCTTTTCTTTTTGGGTTTTTTCTGTTCATGTGAACTCATTGTTCTTCTTTTTATATCCATGTGAACTCATTTTTCTGTGTACATTAGCCCGTTAAAACAAGGGGAAAGATTTAAAATCCTGATTATTACTTGGAACATCAGCAAATAATTTTTTTAATTAAAAAAAAACTTTGTTTCTTTTTCACCGGTTGCTTCCTAAGTCTGGTTTGCTTCAACCGTGCAATCCCATAACCAAACAAGTTCGATGCAGGCCAAAAAAAAAAAAAGAAAAGAAAAAAGAAAACAAACAAACAACACACAGTGTGATCCTGCTTCGAAAATGAACAAAATCATATGAATAAGAGATGGATTTCAACTTTGAAGGTTTTCTAATTCGGTCCAAATCCAGTCATAGGAGAGATGGCGCCGTCGTAGGGGAGAGGGGATATCATGCATAATGCATTCGTCCACTGTTGGGGTTCACACCATCGCCGTCGTCGTAGGACAAGCAGTCGTGAAAGGAGCGGAGGAGATAGCCGGGGTTTAGGCAAAAGGGAGATCGAGTCGCCGTTGGTGGGGTGAGGACCGCCATCGAATAAGGAGTTGCCAGAGGTGGCGAAAGTACCTTACGGTATTATAGTCATTCCCTTATTTAATTATTGAGTCCGATTAAGCCAAGTATATTATTATTTGTTGTCCGAGCACTGTTACACTAACACACAATCAATAATGTAGAGGCGAAAAGAGACAAAATATCTCTTAAAATATAGATGTGAAATTTTACCAATTATTCTTGATTATTATTTTTTTAATTAATAATTATATTAACTAAAAGAGTATGCAGATCCACAATACCATGAAAAATAAGTTCAATAACTTTCTTGCGACTGATGAAAAAGAGAGTGGATGAAAATTATCTCTTTAATAGTGTATAATCAAGCCATCTTTTTTTTATTTTTATACAATTGCATATGATTCTAATATGAAAAAAAATTAATGCGTTCTCCATATTTTCAATATGTGCTAAAAAATAAGGACCAGCATTTTAATTTATAGGAGGGTGATGGAAGTGAAAAGTTATCTGTGATCTATACAAACAAAGTCCTGTCAATGTTATTTAAAAAAAAAAAAAAAAAAGACCCTGTAGACTGTAGTTTCTTCAGCCAAACCGAGAGATATTTCCGATCTAGTTCTTTTATCTAAAAAATTTAAAAAAAGACAATTTTAATTTTAATTTTATTCAAGTTCACGTTTTTTTAAGTTTTAACTTATTCAATTTTACTCAACTTTATTCAAATTTTAACTTCAACTCAAGTTATAATTCAAATTCAACTCAAAAATTACACTCAACACTCTTTAGGGCCCATTCACTTCGCTGATTCGAGTTTGTAATTCGAGTTGAGATGTGATTTTGTGTGAGAACTTTTTATTGTAGCAAAAAAGTTAATTGTAACTATTTCTGAGAGTTTTTTACTGTAACAAAACTCGAATTCTAAACTCGAATCGGCGAAATGAACAAGCAAAGAACAACCCCAATTTTCCACCGCAAAAGGATATTACCTCTCCCAGATATTTGTAAAACCATCACTGTACCAATCACAAAAGTGCCAAATTTTTCCTCGTCTCCGAGCATAACCAGATATAGACCAATACCATCTACTGAAATCCAAAACATGAAAAATAAATCCCAACCTTTGAACTGCACATAAATATCCAGTCTTTTTTGTTTTTAATTAGCAAACTTATCCATTTGTAGCCCTTCTCCATGACCATCCACTTGATTTTCAGTCTCTCAGTAGTCTGAGAAGAAGACACTGAAATCGTACAAGCAGAGTTTGAGCTTTAGATCCAAATCAATGGCAGAAACCGACCTTTCCGACGACCTCAGCGAGTGGGAGCAAATCCAATCTCCATTTTCTCATACCCGTCCCTCACATCACCAATCAACATCTCCAAGGCAAATAGACGACGATCACCAAAGCTTGCCTCTCTCTCCTCCACCGCAAGACCTCGAACCGCGTCGCTCTCCCGCTCTGCCTCCTCCACAAGAACCTAATTCGCCGTCTCCGTCGTCGTCCTCGTCGTCGCCGACGCCGGAATCTCCACCGGTGCCGCCGTCTTCCTCGTCGTCGAGGAATTCGAAGCGCGATGAGGAGGCTACTCGGAGGCGGTCGGACTCCCGGCTGGTGGCCGCGAGAGAAATCGGAAAGCGACTGAGGCTGCGGTTGGGGATTCTGAGCGCCGAGGTCCTTCGAGCGGCTTCTAAGGTCTGTAATTACTGGATGATCGCCGGAAGATTTTGGTCGGTCGTTTCGGTGGTCGGAGTTCTGACGGCGATGCTGCTGTCTCTGCTGTACGTAAAATTGAAGCCGCGATGGAGAACTCGGAGACTGCTTCGCGATGATAAGGAGCGTTTGATTCTGCTCCTAAAAGAGAAAGACGAGGTTAGTTCTTTTCCAAAACTAGATTCAACAATAAAATTAAATTTTGAAAATTCTAAGCGTAGTTCAGCTAATTTGATTGTTATGAATATGAAACAATTGGAATTGGCGTTCAGAAGATCAGCCAGCTGCTGGTTCAGATTGCTGAGATGAACGAGGCGTTATCGGCGCGACGCCGGGTTCCGGTGCTCCGAGTTGGTTGAGTGGTGATACAGGATCTAGGTGATGGCTCTCTTTCTACTTTCTACTGCAAAATCCGTCGGCGTTGTTCGTATCACGGTATACTACACCATATATATATATATATATACACACACACATATATATATATAGTCGTTTCTTCAGTTTCATTGTTTTTGTAGTTAATATCCCTGTGCAATGATACATCAATATAAGCGGTGAGCGTATGATTTTTGGCTTATCTGAAAGACCAACTTATTAGAGTTGATAAAAGAAAAGGATGTCTTTCCAATTCATTACTCGCGTTAGTTTTTCACCTTTCAGCACGACAGAAAGGATTCGTTAGGCTAGTGCTGATGAGCTGTTTGACCTACTTATTATATACAGAGAAGAAGTATTTCTGACCTCTAAAGCCTCAGGATTAGGCCGTAAGCAACTAGCAAGTAGTGGTATACTATAATATGGTTTAAGTCTTATCATAAGGCTCAAAAGTTAGCATCGCGTTTCGATGAGGTTCTTTCGCCTTGCTCTAACAAGTAAGCAAAAGTAAACTACCTTTTGAAGCGCTAGTCAATGAAACTAATGATTAACAATAGAAAGAAAGTACAGTTCCAGCTACAACAAAGTCCAAAATTCTTGGAGAATAGTTAATAAACATCAGGCAGCAAGCAGCAGAAAGTTTCCAGATAGAGAGTAAGGAATGCACCAGAAACCAGAAACCAGAAACCAGTCACAAGACCGTTAAGATCTCATTGCGTGAGAATCAAGTAAGACAAGGTAAGTCCAGCTAAATACACATCATAACTTTCCCAGAGACAAATACTCAAAAAGGAGATGGGTCTTTTTCATGCAACACTAAAAAACAACTAGATTTAACAAAAACGGGTTCCCTGTCCATTCAACAAGGGAAAAAAATAGATCTATATTCGACACATGATGATAACTGAAATCAGCAGTAACCTTAAATAAGAGTCGCACAACAAACAAAACAAGAATGGGTTAAATGAAGATCTCAATGTCTGCCTTTGAGCTGAGAATGCCGAATATCAAACTGATCTACAAACTCCAAGGGCGTAGTAGTCTCATTCCTGATCCTCCTGATCTTAGGACTCAACAACCCTCTATGGCTAAACCCATATAAATTAAGCACCTGATTGTCAGCAAAATTGAAAGCCCTCTCCATACTCTTCAAACACCTATCAACCGCATAATCTCCGTAGCTCCCACAAGGCTTACACCCCACAAAATGTGTCACAAAAGGCCATCTCTCATCACCCAAACCCGGATGATACTTCTCCATCATCTCCTCATACCTATCCACCAACCCCGCCCAATATCCATGCAAAAAGTAAGAATTCTCCACATACACCTTGTTCATCCACTGATCCTTCTTTGATATCAGCAGATAAATCAACGCAGACTGATCGTCCGCCTCGAATGCCGGCCTTCCCTTCAAATTCGCAGTCAAAATCTTTCCGGCCTCCTCGCGAATAGGCCCTTTCGGACCCATCGGAGCCCAAGCATCAAGCAAATCCAAAGACCACTGACAATTCCTAAACAGAAAACTCCCAGTGTTCAGAGCAATCCATGATTTCTGCTCAAACAACAAATCCGGGTATCCATGAATGACCATATTGTAATCATTGTACTTCGACAACGGAATCTCAAACACCATATCGGTGAACAGAGCATCACTGTCCATCCACCATATCCATTCAACCTCGGGATGAGACAACATCAATCGCCGGATCAACGGCAGTTTGGCCCAGTACCCAGCGAGCTCTTTATCTAAATGAGCCAGATTGTAAACAATCTCAATCCCATGAATCCTGCAATAGTCAATCTTGTTCTTGATCGACTTCAGAAGGTAGTGATCTCCAATGGGGTTGTCGCACGGCTTCGGAGGCGAACCGGTAACAAGCAAAACCCTAGCTTTTCCATTAATGTAGTTAGGAAACTGAGGGTTTTGCCCTAGCCAGAGCTTCCTCTCTTGGTCCCAATTCGAGATTTTGGGGCCGAGAGAGTAAGTCGCGTTGGGGTTGGTCTCGGACTCGGGGGGCTCGTCGGCGTCGGTGGGGTCGCTGTCGGAGCGAATCTCAGCGAGGATTCGGTTCGTCTCCTCGGCGATCCGCCGCACTTCGGCGTCGTCGGAGGAAGATCCGGTGAGGCTCCCGATGCCGATGGTGCCGCGGAGTACGAGGATGGTGACGAAACCGCAGAGGAGCGTGATCTTGACGTTGTTGAAGGTTTTCTTGATCTGACGGCCACGAGGAAGGGCGCGGCTTCTGGCGGTGGTGGAAAGAGCGGCGGCGGAGAACGGTGATGAGCCTCTTTTGAGGGCCGTGGAGCCGTCATGGCCCATTTTTTTTTTTTGTTTTTATTTGTCAAGGTAAAGACAAACAGAGCCTTTTTCTGTCCTGTGTGTGAATGAATGAATGGGTTAAATGATAATCATGCCGTAATCGAGATTAAAGAATTAAGAAAGATGGTGTTGGTAATGGAGTGGAAAGCTGGCTAATATTATATATTATTTTTGTTATGCAACATTGTTTGATGGAGCGAAAAGACGTGGGGAGATGTTTTGTGTTTGTTTAGTTTGAGTAGTGCTTTGGACATGGGAGGATAGCGTATTATGATTCCGTTCATTTCACCGATTTAAATTTATAATTTAAATTTTGTTATAATAAAAAAATTTTAAAAACAGTCACATTTGATTTTTTATTACAGTAAAAAATTCTCACATAAAGTCATATTTCAACTCAAATTAAAAATTTAAATTAACGAACTAAACGGATTCTAAATGGTGCATACTAGTGCCATTATTATTAATATTAAAGAAAAGTTGATAGCGTATGGTTTTTTGCGTGTAAAATGATAGCATATAGTTTTCTAATGACACATGACGTTTTTAATGGACTAATATAAAAATCAAATATCTCACTTAATAAGTGTGCATGTATACATATGATCAAAATTAGCTGCGATAATAACTATATTGTAGTTAGACAAAATTACAAATCATGCAAACATGTACCCTGTTGTCTTATTACAGCTTTTTGTTAGTGCCTTTGTTTCCTCTTGACAATATCTAAAGTTGAGAAAAACATTGACAACTGATTTAAAAATTGAAGTTCAAAGCGAGAATAATAATAATAATAATAATAAATATACTTGGAGACACAACTATAAAAATGCATTTATAGAAAAGAAAAAAAAAAAAAGAAAGGTGAGGGAAGCGCGTGCTTGTTAAGAGCATGAAGGAAGGGCCAGTCCAAACAGAGTGCAAAGTGCAAACTAGAAGATAAATCATGCCTCGCAAGGGTATGAGCGAAGGGCCAAAAGCACTAATACAACCAAAAAAATTAGAAAGCAACGAGCAAATATCTGAAACAATAGCCCTATCAAGGCCAGAAGAATTTCGTGAATTAGCAAAGGAAGTTCTTTCCTAAGTGTATGCCACGGCCACCCCATTAGATGAGTAAAGATAAAACCCTTGCTATTTTATGAAAAAAACTCCAAGGTGAGGTTGAGTTTAAAGACCGATGAACTTCAAGAAAAGCCAAACGTGCAAATATAACAAGTTTTTTTTTTTTTTTTTTTTTTTTTTTTTTTTTTTTTTTTTTTTTGCCATGCACGAAAATGAAATTCTTAGAATTTGTTGATTTTAAATGAGTATACTCTTTGTGATGGAGTATATTTGATTATTTGGGTTGAGAATTATGACTGTTAAAAACTTTAGTTGTAGCAGAAGTTATTGAAATATTTATTTATTTATTTATTTAAGTTAGAGATTGTTAGAATTTTGGCAGAATAAATGGGGAGCTTAGTCCCACATTATTTTAGAAACAAAAATGGTCTTAATCTATATAAGGAACTTAAACTTTCTATTGTCATTTGCTTCTACCGTCTTCGTTAAATGAAATGAGAAATGAGTACTTTTCTTGATTAGTGTGGCGTTTTGAAGACAATTTTTTTTTTTTTTTTTAGGAAAAACTAAAAAATACCGCATAAAATGGTTTAAAAAAAACATTATTTATGCCACTGTATTCAAAAATAAACAAGTGACGTCCAATTAATAAGAACAAAATAAAACGTCATAATGACATCTAATTATTTAGAATGACATAAATAATAAAGTTTGAAAAAATAATGGTCAAATTTGAAATTTTCTCTTTATTTTTTTAATGAAATGAAGACTGCATAGAGTAGTTTAGTGTGCTTTAAGCATTAATTAATAATCCATCAGAACTTGCAATGTGTTATGAAAAGTTTGGATGATCATATTTTGCTACATAAAACAACTTCCATTGATGAAAGTTCTGTTGAAACTTTTTGTATGAGAAGTTTTGTTTTTGTATGAGGATTTTTATTCTTGCAATTCGACATGAAGTAAGGATGGATGACTTCATCCTTGTTTCTATAAACAGGCCTTACTCCTTGTTCCAATAGAAGACAAGAAAAATCAACAAGAAATAGTTATAAGAGAGAAGAAAGGTAGGAAAAATTGAGAGAATATAAAGAAGTAAATAAAGGGTGCACAAAATTAATAAAAGAATTTTCTCTATGTATTTGTCTCTTTGCTTTTCTATTTATTTACTTTATTTATATAATAGTTTTATATTTATTCTTAATTTATAACACGTTATAGCATGAGTCTCTATCTATGGTTTCTTTTCTTATTGTTTAATAAAAAAATTCACAATTTGTGTTTGCCAGAAAGTGGGGAAGAAAAGCCAACAGTCTACGTGAAGAAAGGTTGCCTCTATTTATAGGTACATATCAAGGCACTGTAGATTATTTTTAAACTATTGTTAAATATACAAAAGTGGTAGAGATGTTTAGACTATATTCATATTTGACAACGTGCATAAAACTTTTCTGATAAGGATAATATACCATATTCCTATTTCGGGAAGTTAATTTGGAAAATTTATGTTGAGTTTGAATTTCCTTCCATAATTAAATATCTTGAATCATTGACAGGTGTTATTTTTACGGTAAAGTTTGCCGATTGTTAGTTTGATGAAAACAATGTTCTTAGCATTAGAGGAAGAAAAGAAAGAGTTAAAAAAACATAATGAAATTTTATAGAATGCATCTTCATTATCTCATTTTGATCTTTGCACAAATTAATGTGAACTAGAAGTTCAAAGAATAAGTCATTCGTAAAATATTGCAAATCAGTTGCAGATGTATTTACTGATACAAAGAAAGTGATAAAGTTACATTATACTAGCTGCTAATGTTCTGACTCATGTTAATGTTTTTGTCGGGCAAATTGAAAATAAAACAGTAAATGAATCTAAAGCATGCCTAAAATGTGGTAGATCAATTGGTTTCAAAGATAAAATCTCCAAAAGATAAAAAAAGAAAGATAAAACTGGCATTCTTGAAGAGATTGACACTCCTAGAGAGGCCATACTGTCAAAACAAATAAAGACCCAATAACTGTTGTCCCGAATAAGGCTACCCAAAAGGGGGGTGAATTGGGTTTTGAATATTTTTCGAGAGTTTATACGATTATTCGAAAATTAAAACTAAATATAGACAATTAATTGAACAAGGTACTTTTATCAAACACTTGGTGTACAGAAAATTATGTAAGTTAATGCAATAGCACAACCACTTGATGTACACAGGATGGACCAATCTAATATCATAAAAAAAGAGTTCAATAAACTTATCACGACGAGTTAAACCAATCAATGTCAGCAATCAAATTTAAAGTGCGGAAATTAAAGAGATAGAGTTAGAGAGATGCAAACGAGATTTATAGTGGTTCGACAAATAAATTTACCTACATCCACTGTCGCCGAGATATTCCGCCTCTCGACCTCTTTCACTATTCGATCGACTTTCCGGCACGATCACTCCTCTTACAAGAAGGCGAATCTTTCTACCCGAGGCTTCGCCTAACCTCTTACACAATGTCAATTTTTCACGGAGATCGACCAACCAAGTAACCCAATACCAAAGTAATGATTATGAGTAATGAAGCACTTAGTTTTACTCTCCTAATAATAGTTTTACACAGTTGAAATCACTAGGAGATGATGAACTCACACTATCACAAGATAATTCAAGGTAGGCTCAATTATGTGTGAGAGAGTTGAGGATTTAGAGAAGATGATGATTATGTAGACACAATAAAGAACTCTCTTTTTGATTTTTAAAGCTTTGAATTCGTTCTTTGTTTTTCGCAAAAATCAACTGTTGAGAAAAATAACTTTTCTCTATTTAACCTCTCTTGCCAACGGTCATATTTTTGCCCGTTTACCCAGTACCGGTCGACCGGAGCAGTTGACCGGTTGAGACAAATTTGAATTCGTGCTGTTGAACATTCTTATTGAGTGTCTGTTGAACAGAATCGGTCGACCGGAGCGGTTGACCGGTTGAGGCATCACCGGTCGACCGGTGCATTTAGCCTTCTCTGTCACCGGACGACGTAGGTTGACCGGTTGACACTTAATTTGCCTCAAATCTTCACACATTTGTACTTTTAGGCCAAATGTCATTATGCACTAAGTTTAGTCTCATTTTTTAAAGAATAACGTGAGTGTGTGCATGAGCCTAAACAAGAATTAATCACGATAGTATGAAGTCAAAATCAAATACAAGAGTAAAGAGATATTAAAAACCTATTAGTAATTGTCCAGCTTGATTTTGTTTGCTTGCTCTTGATCTTTGGTATTTTAGCACTTCAAGCCTTGAATTCCTTCTTCAATTTGCATTTGTCAATCTTGAATGTATTTGCATTGTATTCCGCAAAATGCTTCTTGAGTTGATTTATAACATTAATTACGCTAAATACACAACTCAAAATAGAATCATTAGAAACATAATACATTGTGTTTGTGATCATCAAAACATGAGAATATTCAACCTTGGGCCAACAATAACTAGTCTTGGTACCTGAAAAGATTGAAAATGTTGTCGACAACGTATTTGCATATGAAGTAGCACTTGATATAATAAAAGAAAGCAAGGATCTTCAACTAAAGTTTGTCGAAGAATGTCGACGTAGATATGACTGACCAAAATGGAAAGACCCAATCTAGGCATAACTAGATTCCCTCACAAGTGTCTGGACCTATAGTCCAAATACCTGAACATATAAAGCAGTGGGGTACAAATGGGTCTTTGTACGAAAATGAAATGAAAAAATAAAATTGTGAGATACAAAGCATGACTTGTTGTACAAGATTTCTCACAAAGACCTAGAATTGATTATGATGGACACTTATTCTCCCATGGTGGATGCAATTAACTTTCGGTATTTAATAAGTCTGACATTATCTGAAGAACTTGATATGTATTTAATGAATGTGGTAACCGCATATTTATATGGTCACTAGATAATGATATCTATATGAAAATTTCTGAAAGATTTAAGATGCCCGAAGCATCTAATTCAATACCTCGGGAAATGTATTCAATTAAATTATAAAGATCTTTATATGGATTAAAATAATCGGGATGCATGTGGTACAATTGCCTCAGCGAATATCTTTTAAAGAATGATTTTTAAACAATCTCATTTGTCCATGCGTTTTCATTAAAAAATCATACTTCATATTTGTTACCATTGTTGTGTATGTTAATGATTTGAATATTATTGGAACTCCTGAGGAACTCAAAGAGACTATAACATATTTAAAGAAAAAATTCGAGATGAATGATCTCAGAAAAATAAAATTCTTTCTCGGCTTGCAAATCGAGCATTTGACAGGTGGAATTTTCGTTCATCAGGCAACTTATACAAAAAAATTCTTAAATCGTTTTTATACGAACATGGCCTATCCATTGAGTACCCCAATGGTGGTGCGATCTCTAGACGTAAAAAATGATCCTTTTCACCCTAAAGAAGGTAATGAAGAAATCCCTAATCCTAAAGTACCATATTTGAGCGCAATTAGTGCTCTTATGTATCTTGCTAACTGTACATGTTCTGATATTGCTTTCTTAGTTACTTTACTAGCCAAGATACAACGTTGAACCAACTCAAAAACATTGGAAGATAGTTAAACATATATTCCATTATCTTTGTGGGATAATTAACATGGATTTATTTTATTCTAAATGTTCAAAATCACAATTAGTTGGTTTTGCAGATGCAAGATATTTATCTGATCCGCACAAAGCTCAATCATAAACATGATATGTGTTCACATATGATGATACAACAATATCATGGCGCTCTAGAAACTAAAACATTGCTCCTACTTCATCAAATCATGCTAAAATACTTACATTACATAAAGTGAGCCAAGAATGTGTATGGTTAAGGTCTATTGATCAACATATCCGAGAGACTTACAAATTATCCTTGAATCACGGAAACCTAACAGTAGCTTATAAAGACAATACAACATGCTTTGCTCAAGTCAAATGAGGCTATATTAAAGGCGATAGAACCAAGTATATTTCACTAAAGTTCTTCTTCACACATGAACTGCAAAAGAGGGGTGATATAGACGTTCAACAAATTCACTCATGCGACAATTTGGCTGATCTATTCACTAAGACACTTCCCACCTCAACATTTGAGAAATTGGTGCATGGTATTTGAATGCGTCGACTTAAAGATTTTTGAGGAATATTCAAACACCACCAATCATGTTTGCTTGAGGGAAGTTAATACTGTACTCTTTTTTCTTTAATTAAGGTTTTTGTCCCATTGGGTTTTACTTGATAAAGTTTTTAATGAGGTAGTATTTCTAAAGCGTAACATAAACAAGAATAGTGTACTATTTTTTCTTCACTAAGATTTTTTCCTATATAGTTTTCTCTCAGTAAGGTTTTAACTGGGCAACTTCTTGTATATGAACATCCAAAAGGGGGAATGTCATTAAAAGTTTAGATGATCATATTTTTCCTCCATAAAACAACTTTCATTGACGAAATTTTATTGGAACTTTTTGCATGAAAAGTTTTATTCTTGCAACTTATCATGAAGGATGGATGACTTCATCCTTGTTCCAGTAGAACGCAAGAAAAATCAACAAGAAATAATTGTAAAAGAGAAAAAAGAGATGAAAAACTGAAAGTAAGTGTTATGAAAGAATAGAAAGAAAAAGAAAACGAGTGTGTAAAATTAATAAAAATGTTCTCTCTATATTTGTCCCTTTACTTTCCTATTTATTTATCTTGTTTATATAATAGTTTTATATTTATCCCCAATTTATAACACAATATCCTTATTGGGAAATCACTACTCTTATAGTCAGTGTCTCCGTCTTTATAAGTCATTGTCTTTGTATGCTCCAAATTGGATTCTACGTTCTTGTACTCTTTTTGTCTCGTTAGGTGGGTTCTAAAGGCTAGTTTACAGGTTTTGTGTCTTGTGGAATGGTGGATCCAGATGTAAGTAAATTTTTTTTTTTTTGAACGAAAAATTTCATTTATAAATTAACAAATTACACAAACAGTCACAATTGACCATAAAGCATAAGGATAAACACAAATATCAAGACTCAATGAGAAATAACTCCTCGACACAAATAAAATCGAGCACGACCAAAACTCGTTAACAAGAACCACTACAGTCGATGAATAAAATCAGTCGACCGAGACCAAACCCCTAATAATGGGGATACAAGTGACACGACCTAGAAACAAATTAAGTGTAGACAAACACACACACCATTGATAACCAACGCACACGGGTGGGACACAAACAAAATTAAAATGTAAGGAAACCACATCCGTTATTACAATACGTAAACTTTAAGAAAATAACGCATTTATTAAAATTAACAAAAGACTATGAAACCAACGAATAACCTTAGCCATACTGAAATAAATGCCAACACAAGCCAACAACCATTGTATGGAAGTCAAAGAAACCAGATTTGAGCAGAATCATCGCAATAGAAGTGCAACCGCCACCGATAAAGTTGAGTGCAAAAATAACTCGAACGATATCCTTGCACCACATATCCACCAACAACCTTCCGCTCCTCACTCAATCTACGCCTCCATCACCAATGGACCGCTCCCATCAACCACCGACCACACCTGCACGACCTCAGTCATCTCAAGGGGCAAGAGTTTAACAACCAACCAATGGCGATGTCAAATTCTGATCCTAAGAAGAGATTGTGAACTCGAAACATTAGCCGCTTCACAGATAGAGAAAAGGAGAGTGAAGAGAAATAATATATAGTTTTTGCTCCCTAAGCTTGCTTAATAAAATTGTCTTTTAACCTTTGGGGCGATTTGCTCTTGGGCCCATTTAGAAATTTGAAATGGATGAATGCAAATCAACGTGAAAGGTTATATTTTCATCTAAAACTTGTCATTACATTTGATATTAAAATTTAACATAATCACATATTCGTAAAAGAAAGGGGTGCCTAAATTGAGGGCTCTATTAGGATCATTCCTCACAATTGTGGAATTTAGATTAGATAATATATAATATATGAGATTGAATATCTTAAGAGAATTCTTTAAAGTTCTACTCTTATGCGCATTTCGTAAACGTCAAAGTTATATATATATATATATATATATATATATATATATATTTGTAATGCTATAAAATAGGAATGATATTGAACATCATAAACTATTAATAAATAAATCTCGTAATATAAAACCCATAAATAACACATCTTTTATTAATTGTTTTTTTAATGAACATTTTTTATTAATTGTAGGTTTAGGAGGTAGTTCCAAAAAAATTTTAAAATTAAATACTCCCGGTAGTGGGGTGCTCCCACCGTGAAATTCCACATTTTATTCCCCAAAAAAACCCATTTATCAGTACATGTGTGACTGCGTGAGAAAGGTTAACGACGCTTTTTTTATTTACTATTTAATATGTAGATTTTATTATCTTATTTTTTTAAATAATAATATATTATATTAATAAAGTTCACATATTAAATAATAAGTGGTGAGACAAAAAAATGACAAAAAAGTGTTGTTAATATTTTTAAGTCCGTTTAATTCGTTGATTTGAATTTTTAATTTGAGTTGAGATGTGATTTTATATGAAAATTTTTTATTATAGTTAAAAAATTAGATGAGACTGTTTTTTAGAATTTTTTATAATAATAAAATTTAAATTCTAAACAGCAAAATCAATTGAACCCGTTTACTTCGCTGATTTGAGTTTGTAATTCGAATTGATATGTGATTTTATATGAGAACTTTTTACTGTAATAAAAAAATTAAATGTGACTATTTTTTAAAATATTTTACTATAATAAAACTCAAATTTTAAATTCAAATAAGTGAAATAAATGCGCCTTAGCCTCTGTATACATCAATATTCAATCCTAACTGTGAGCGCGTTGCTCCAACATAACTGCCACGTTACCAAATCTAGTCATAAGAATTCAGAATTGGACGCGAATCTCATCCGGTTCGCGAATTTACGGTTCTGCAGGCAACTTGGAAACGAACCCAGATCAGAGTCCAGAGATCGTTCGTCGTCCTTCTGATTTGTGCAGAGTTTAGGGTATTCAGACGTCAACTGATCAAGAAAAAGAGTCCGCAGGCCAAAGATGAGCGAGGTCTTCGAAGGCTACGAGCGTCAGTACTGCGAGCTCTCCGCTAATCTCTCCCGGAAATGCAATTCCGCCGCCATTCTTTCCGATCAAGGTAATCTCATTCAAAATTCGTCTTATTGTGTTTGTTTTATCCAGGTTTTTCTGCTAGTTTCGTTCGATTTTGATGTTGATTATTCCGATCGGCCTCCGATTACAATCTAGTGAACTGCTCAATTTCTCAATTTAGGGTTTTTAACTGGTTCATGTTTATTTGCTCCGTTGAATCTGAGTTGATTGCAGAGCAGAAGCAGCAGAAGCTTTCCGAGATTAAAACTGGAATTGATGAAGCTGATGTTCTGGTAACATTAGGAAAATTTCGATCTTTTTCTTGTCATTTCTGAAATTTTATGCGCTTTATGATTTTTTTTTCCTTGGTGGTTTGACAGATTCGGAAAATGGATCTGGAAGCAAGAAGTTTGCAGCCAAGTGTGAAGGTTGTGCTTCTTGCTAAATTAAGAGAATATAAATCTGATCTGAATCAGTTGAAAAAAGAATTCAAGAGAGTGACATCGCCTAATGCCAATCAAGCTGCCCGTGAGGAGTTGTTGGAGTATGGAAATGCGGATGCTCTTTCGGTATGCCTTTTATCAATAAATTTGCTTGCTCACTCTTCTTTTAGCTTAAATTGGGGGCATTTGATATGCGAGTATTTTGTATTTACCATTATGTTATCTTGCTCAATGAGTTTTGAGCTTGTTTTGATATGTTCTCTGTTGAAGCCTCTGCTGCTGAGCACTAGTCCTAGACGTCTTTTGAGAAATTTGGCACACAATTTGAAGAAAGAACTATATTTAGCTGAGGGCTTAAGAGGTTGGGACTTGAAACTAGTTATCCAGATTCTAATTCCGTCATCCACGCCTAGCAAACTCAATCAGGATCACTTAACTGCTGTGATTGGGTAGTTTTAAGAGTTTCTTTGTCTGGGTGTGAGAAAGTGCAATCAATCTCCCAGAGTTAAGGCATCCTTGTAACTATTGGCGCAAATAGCTTTCTTTTTGTAATTCTGTATGTGCGATGGTGAACAGAAATTGCTGAATGCCTTTTTTTTTTTTTTTTTTTTTTTTCCAAATATTTCTCTCTCCCATAGAAACCTCTTATTCAAAGCAACTTATATTAGGCATTTTCCTTCCAGGCTATCTTGTTTCATGGTTGAACTTTCGAATCCCTCCTAATAATCCTCTAACTGACTCCATATGTTTTCTTGTCTTCTTTTTTTTTTTTCTTTTCTTTTCTGTTTTTTTTTTTAGTTAACGACACTGTTGTTAACATTTTGGTCGTTATGGCCATGGCTCTCGCAAAAGTATCTTATATAAATGGAACCTGGTTTCTCATATAACATTTTGGCTGCTCTGATGATTTTCTAGTCTGGGTTGAACTTTTGATCAAGTATCCCAACTCTTTACTGACCTTACAACGTGTTAATGATAGAAGTATCCGTTTTGATTTGTTTAAAACGTATTGCTTGAAAATTATGAACAATTATGCAGGCTTCTGCCGGACAAAGAGAGAGACTGGCAATGTCAGTAGAGAGATTAAATGAGTCAAGTGAGAGAATTACAGAGAGCAGAAGGACCATATTGGAGACTGAAGAGCTTGGTATCTCAATTCTCCAAGATTTGCATCAACAACGTGAAACTCTTCTTCACTCCCATAAGAAGGTATGCTTTTACTGGATTTTATCTTTAGGTAATGATTCATTCTCACTTGGAATTTTATCTTTAGGTTTCCCATGTCTTGAGTAAGATGGACCGTTAACATTTGACCTATGCCTCTTTGTGATGCTGAATTTATTAACCTTTTTCTTGCAGCTTCACGGAGTAGATGATGCCATCGACAAGAGTAAAAAAGTCTTAACTGCGATGTCACGAAGAATGACCAAGCACAAATGGATCGTTGGCTCAATCATTGGAGCTCTTATTGTTGCAGTCATCTTAATTCTGTATTTTAAGCTCTTTCAAAGTTAACGACTACCCGCCATTCCTTGTATTGCAGGTGATTCTGCGATATGCGTTCTAGTGCTCCTTTGCTTATTGCTTAGGATCATATCACCCATTATACTTGCCCTTCGCTATACTTTTTCACACAATTTGTAAGTATACAATTTGTCATTGCACACCACGGACAATTCATACACTTTCGTTTGTATAATTTCACTCAGTGCCCCGTTGCGGGCCTCTGTTGTATGAATTTCGTAGGATTTTTTTTAAAATGGTTCTGTGGAACATCCCAACTTAGTCTTTTGTGAAATAACTATAGGAAAGTTAGGGAAATATATGCTTGTTTTTGGTGTTAATTCTCTTTCTTTTTATTCCATTGTCTGTAATATCATATCAGCTCCGAACTCTCAACACTCAACTCTTATTTGCATATTAGTGTTGTGTCTGGGTGCTCAAATATATGTTAATACATAAGGGTTTCTTGGACAAAAGCAATTTGTTGTGATTGGATCTCACGAGCGAAATATCAGGAGATGAGGTACACTTGTAGGTCTCGTTCATTTCATTGATTCGAGTTTTCAGTTTTAAATTTTTACAGTAAAAAGTTTTTAGAAAGTGTCACATCTAACTTTTTCTGTTATAGTGAAAAGCTCTCAGAAAATGTCACATCTCAGCTCGAATTGAAAACTCGAATTCGCGAAGTGAATGAGGTCGTAAAAACTATTTAGGATTTCAATCAGTCTTTAAGTAGTGATTAAGGTCACTAACAAAAAAAAGGTAGTGATTAAGGATTTGAATCCTCTTTAGCAAAAAATTAAGACATCGTTTGCTTCGCGGATTTGAGTTTTCAATTCGAGCTGAGATGTGACATTTTCTGAGAGCTTTTAACTGTAAAAATTTAAAACTGAAAACTCGAATCGGTGAAATGAATGAGGCCTAGATTAGATTTGTACACGTGGACGTAGCTTGACCAGATTATAACGAATCATCACAGATTAAGGTCCCGTTTATTTCACTGATTCGAGTTTTATTAGAATAAAATTCTCAAAAACAGTTAAATTAAACTTTTTTATTACAGTCTAAAATTATCACATAAAATTACATCTCAACTCAAATTCTAAAATTAAATTTATACAGATGGATTGCAAAAATCCACTGTTATTATTATTATTTTTTTCTTTTTGAAATACCATTATTATTATTATTATTATTATTATTATTATTATTTTCAAATTTTCCGATTTGAGACTAGACCAGTTTCCCGGGACCCACCATGGCAGACCAAAAAATATCGGCAGACGGCAGATAGCAGATAGATCCACAGCTAGATTCGCAAACCCAACTTTCCTTCTTCAACCATCCTTCCTTTCTGTTACGTTTTTTCTCTGTTCACGCAGTCTTTCACGCAGAGAAGTCGTATCTATCTTCTCACATACTCATAAATAATAATAATAATATAATATCGCCCAGAAACTGTTTGACAAAAGTACACAACAAATTTAGCGTAAACAGGAATTCATATCTTCCTTGCTATTACTATTCACCGTTCCAACGCCACCATGGATTCGCTCTCTTCGGTCTCGCCTTCTTTAGTTCTACCGCCGAGCAACTCGCTCTGTTCGCGGCGGCGTCGGCTCGATTTCTCGCCGTGTGGCTTGAGGATTGGTTGTGGAAGCCGTCGTCTGTATTCTCTGTTTGGATTGCCGTGCTCGCCGGAGCCTTGCGGGAGAAGATGGAGACGCGGCTTTTCTAGCAAATTGGGAGGTGGCGGAGCGGCGGAATATGAGGAGGAAAACGGCGACGGGAGCGAGGAGGTGGAAAGGGCGCTTCACTTGGACGGGACAATTCCGGGGACTTCGGACGAGTTCGTGAAGAGAGTCTCGTCCCGCGCCTACGACATGCGCCGACATCTCCAACAATCGTTTGACAGCAGCAGCTATGATGGTATAAGAAATTTATTGACTCAGTTTGTGATATTGTTTCCCTTTTTCAATATTTTTTCTTCCATTATGTTCTTAGTTTTTTGTTCTAATTATGCCAGTGTGCTTCTTTTTTTTTTTTTTTTTTTTTTTTTCGAGTATCGTGTGCTTGTTTTGTTGGTTGCTTTGAGTTTAAAAGTATTGGTACTTTTCTTGATTATTCATTGGAAATGGTGTGCTATTGGTGCGTTTGTGATTGTCAACAATACTTAAAATTACATGTAGATGCAAAATAGAATGAAGACTTCTTTTGATTATATGGTTTTTCTTACGACTCAATAATTGACTACATTTTTAGTTTAGCTGTTTTGGTTTTTGTCAAATTAGCTTAGATTGTTGTTACTTTCCACTAGTGTGATCATTTGTCGTTACTTGCCAAATGAACATGAACAGCTGTGTTTTTTTATTTTTTTTAATATTGAATTTATACTAAGAAATAGAGTGTTCATATATATTATCATATATAAACATCACAAGATTTTTGATGCTTCTAAAGAATGTTTAAAAATTTCTTAAACGGACCT